TGAGTTGTAATATTTAACTCAACAGTCAACTTATTATGATTCTGTTCTGTCTGTCACCACCATTACAAAACTGTTACATATTATAGCAATGTTAATGCCATGTAAAAACTACATCAAAGCCAAGAATTCAGGATTTCACTCATCAGTTTCAAGTAGTTCTTTCTTCTAACCTACCCAATAAAACCTAAGCTGCAGCTTCAAAGTAGTTAACTTGTTAGAGAGGGAAGACCAAAGAAATAGATACATTTGTTGCTGCAGCTGATGCTAAAGAAGTTGTAAACTTACTGTACAGATGCATGCTATTGAGAAAGAAGCACTTGAAAGGACTTGCATTTTCATTCTCACAGGCAACTCTCTCTGCACAAAGAAAGCCCTTCTTTTTCCCTCCACTCAAAAAACCCATCCTTGGCTTGGCATTGTTTATCTCCACCTGCTTCCATATCTCTCATTTGGAAACATGAATTTCCAGAGATTGTATATCCATAACAACATTTAACTTCAATTTCTGCTCTCCAATAAGCAGCATAACCAAACACAGAATTATGCAGAACAAAGGTAGAAATTGTGGAAAAGAGAGCCACTTACAGGAAAAGAAAAAGATGAATAGGAGATGAGATCAACAAAAATTGAAAATCCTTCTTTCATTTCATTTTTCTCTCAAAAACACAAGTATCAGATTCTAACAAGTATCAGATTCTTAATGGGTCATATTTCCTTTGAAACACAACAAAATTCAAAATTCATTCAAAATGACATTTATAAAAACTGACATTTATGAATAATTTATATTTGAAATAATTCAAAATGAGTTTTTTATTATATAATTATATTTGAAATAATTTATAAAAACTGACATTTATGAATATAGGTTTTTGATTCAATTATAAACCTTTAGAGCATCCGCAATGGTTACTCAACAGTTCATTTTAAATGATTGAATAAAATAAAATAAATAAAGTTAGTTACGATAAGAAAGAGATCTTTAAAAGAAGACTAATTTTGAATGTAAAAAAAAATTAATAAAAAATGGGTGTAGGAAGTTTTGGGAGAGTAGTTTTCTACATATGTATTTATAGGTAAATAACTAGCCATTTGAAAAGGAAACTAGCCACTTGTGCTTTTGAAAAGTAAAATAAATTAGGAATGGCTAGTATATATATAATTAGCTATCCTTTCTATAAATAAATAAATAAATAAATAAAGCTATCCTTTCTCAACAGAAAAAAAAAAAAGCTTTTTTTTTTTTTTTTTTTTTTTTGGAAAGTGAAAAAAATTAAAAATGTTTAATAATTATTTTAAAATAATTCAAAAAAAAAAAAAAAAAAAAAAAAAAAGTTTTTTTTTTTTTTTTTTTTTTTTTGGAAAGTGAAACAAATTAGTAATGGCTAGTATATATATTAACTAGATGTTTAAAATGAACTAAACTTTACTACTTCAAATTAAAAATTCAATTTATTCAAATAAAATTCAAATGACCCTCACCATTGCAAATGCTCTTATTGATAAATGTCTCTCGTTTATAGGGAAACCCATGAGATTCATTCTTTCTTTGCAATCCATTTTCCTTGATAGTGTCTGCTTTGCTTTCAATCAAATATTCAGATTGCAAATCAACTTCAATGCTCAGTTTTGTTTTTTCTTTCTTTTTCTAAAGTGTTTTTTTTCCTTTTCTTTTTCACGATAATTCATTTATTTATTTTTATTGTGAAAATTTGACGCCAATTTTTTGTCAAATGATTAAAATATCATTTACAAAACCGAAAGACTCGATTATAATAGCCACATAGGCAACCAATAACTTGAACTTATACCTAAATGTGGATTACCGACATTATATCCATTATCTCCACCTTTTATTGTTTTGTAACATATGTTATTAATATAGTAATTAGTAACCTTTAACATATATTTAGTGGGTTAATTTCCTATGGTTGTAAGCCTATAAATAGGTACTTATCAAAGATTAAGCTAAGAAGTTGAGAGAGCAAATTATATTACATTTCTTTTCTCTTTTCTCTCTACAATTTCCCTTTAGATTTATAACAATTCTGTGAGATTGTGTTTTTGATTTTGGGAATTTTTCTCTTTAAGCTTGTTTCAATTTCTAAAGTTTCTGATTTTTTCTAAATTCAAAATAAATGGTTTATTAAATTAAGGATTTAGAGTTTGGATTATTGATTTGTTGGCAGGGAGTGTGGGGAGGAAGGGAGAGAGGTCTATTGTTTTCATTGAAAATGAAAAGATTAAAATACTCTTAATAATGGATGGAAAATTGGATGTTGTTAAATTCAGATGACTAACTCATGAATTTTGAAAAATTAATCATTTCTCTTAAATTTTTCTTTAAGGTGACAAATTGAAACTTAGATATAAGTTCATGTGACATTTCTACAAAAATCCTTTATGATAATTGCCTTGGTTTTAATCACTATGATTATTTTATGATGCATGTTGTATATCGGTTGCATGTACTTACTAGGTTACTTTAACTCATGATATTATACAAATTTGTTGTTTCGACGAGTGCATTCATGGGAATGGGAAGATATTTATTTAAAGGTTGATTAAATATTTTGTTTCCACATTTTCTAAAAGCAACTGAACTTTGTTTTGCTCTAATGATGTTAAGCTTACATGTAAACAAGCTTATATTTATGAATTAAAATTTGGATCAATAAATATCTCTATGATATTTATTTATTTTTAAAACGGGGGAAATTTATTTCCTCAACTCGTAGATTCACATACCATATTTCAGTACAATATTGGCCTTAAATTTGGGGAGTGAAAATATTTACTGTAAAATAAATAATATATTATATTATCTTTTTTTTAAATACAAATAAACCATAAAACTTCTTAATTTATCTTATACTTATCTCCATTAAATCTTGTAGGTTAGTATCTAATATTTGAACTAAAAACTCCTACATTTCAACATTTTTTTTCTCGTTCTTTTTTCATGTCTGAGTACCTTAATGTTGGAATATAAATTATTAACTTTATAGTCTTTAATAGTGTAGATGATAAGATTAGTATTCAACAATTTTAAAATACGACATTCGAGAAACTTTTGATGGTATATATTACTAATCAATATAAAATGATATTATGAAGTGGGCCAAAATAAGTAGTTAGTGTAGTAATAACTTATTAACCGGTTAGTGCTTGAGGGCTCCTATTCAAATTATTTTTTAAAATTTTTGTGTAGAACCCCTCTAATGTGAAATCTAACTTTGCCACCGTATGAATGTTGCATTGCAGCAGATCCCCAACCATTCGAAGAGCATGGAATTTCAATTTTACATGTATGTATATATTACTATCAACACTAATTATCACAAAATATATACACACATGTCAGGCTGAAAACAAGAAAACGATAAAGATTCATCTCTCTATACATCAATATCTTTAAATTTATTATTTATATAAACGATGTGATCATCCTTAATATCTCCAGTCACTTTGGTTAACTTACCATCCCTGCCAATTGTGAAACATCCATAAAGAATGCCAACACTGCTGCAAAGATACTAGTTGTAACCGTGCTCTTCAAAGGAGCGTGGGTGTTTTTATTAATGTCTGAAAAAAATGATGGTATACCAAAAAAGCAGCTGGACATATCTCATTTAATCTCAATGTATGTGTAATAATTTCAACCTAATTGCTCACGTGTGTGTAGACCATTCGACTTGCTAGGATTGCAAGAATGACATCAAACCTAAGATTGAAACCGACTCGGCCTTATGGGATGTTTACTAATTTGTAATTGGATTATAAGGAATTGAATTGAAGAGGAGTTGAATTGAGGAGAATTTGATTCCGGATTCCTATCGAAGTTGTTTACTAAACCATATGGATTGAGGAGAGTTAGATTCCGGATTCCGGATTCCTATTGAAGTTGTTTACTAAACCATATGAAATTAGGGTAGGAGTGGTTCTAATTACTAAAATGTCCTTGTTGTTGGATTAAAGTAGATGGCAAATTTGAAAATTTGAAAATTGTGTGAGGATATAATTGATAAAAAAGATGAATTCCTAGTTCTCCAGAAATTAGAATACCACCTCCCACGTAAGAATTGAATTCCTCAAAAATCAAGAATTCAATTCCTAATTTTGTGTAAGCCCTACTTACTTTTTAGTTTGATTTAAGTAAATGGAAGAATCCTTCAAAGGTGGAATTCAATTTCTGATTAGTAAACACACCAAGAACCTATTGTGGTTCTTATTTTTTGTAGAAAATTTAGCCCATATAATTTGAGAAGAATTTGAAAGCAGCATATAACCTCAAAATGCATTGAATTTGGAAAGGTATTTTTTTGTTTGTCTAACTTAGTATGCATGATGACTTTTCTTCTCAATCCATAATGAGATTGTGTCACCACCATTATTACTTACAAAGCTGTTCCACGATGCCAATTTGGCATTGCTGCGCTGTGAAAATAATCGCTGTCAAATTTGCTGTGAGAGAAATCAGCTGTGAGAGAAAGCAGTTTGGCGTTTGGTAAAATTTTTGTTAAAAGTGTTGTTGGTATTGATTTTACGCATAATCAGAAAATAATTGCTGCATAATCATTAAACCCAACATCTTTTAGAAATTGATTCTTGCATAATCAGAAAATGAAAGCACCTCATTAGCTGCTTTCCCTTATAGCTTTATCTCACATCAATTTTTAACAATAAGTGATTTTTTCGCAGTTTACCAAACGGGTTGGGCTTTTCAAAATTTTTAAAAAATCACTTATCACCCCAAATAAGCAATGCCAAACTGGTAACTGTGACGTAAAAACTAAATCAAAGCCGAGAATTTTTGTTCACTGCTAATGTCACAAGATGATTCTCAACCTCATCTGCTTTCCTAAAGAGAGAAAATTTACCCATTTCACTCAATTTCAAGTAGTTCTAATCTAATCTACCCAATAAAACCTATCAAATTTGAGCAGCAACAGGAAAAGGAGAAGGGGGTAAGTTGTTAAAGAGGGAAGAGCAAAGAAATAGATACAGGTAAGAATCTGATAGATCACATCTCATCACATTTGTAACCTTACAGATTATAGTCATAGACTCATAGCCTTCTTCCCACAGTTTTGGGGAAAAAAGATACTGAAAAAACACATGAGTGGTTTATTAAAGCAACTTAGGTTGTGCAAAACATACAATTACTGACTTTGTGGTTGTAGTCTGCATGTTGGACAATACCACTTTCCTTTGAATCTTGTCTCTGGTGTAAGCCCAACGCATGCATAATGGAACCATTCGCCTCCTTGGCACTGTCAATTAGTAAAAATGACACATGATAAAAGAACAAATACGTAAGTAGCAAATTGCACTAGAGTAACTTTGTCTATTTTATTTTTCTACAGCCAATGACAACCAATATGCTAGAGTATTGAGGAACTGTTACAGCCTTTATAGTCAAACAAGGTTATGCAATAAGAAAACACCACAATATTCTCACCAGTTACAAGTCCTAAATATATGAACTGGTTCCATAGTAAGCTGATGTGGATTTACTTAACATTTTCAACTTCAAGCATGTAGAAAGTGATAACAAAGATACTGTTAACCATAAAACAAAAAAGATGAATTATACGCTGTTATAACTATGAGCCTGATCTACAACCCCCACCTCAAAGGTAGGGGGATGTGCGAATTTTCAGGTTTCTATGCCCTATGATCCTTCAAGAGTGCATGTGAATTGTAACCCATTCATTTTTGTGCTATTATATATGCACAAAACTCAAAGTTTCTTTTAATTTACACTGTTAGAAGGAAAAATCTTGGGAAAACAAATGCAGAAGACCCTACTATAAATATTCTGTAAGAGATTTAACGCTGATCAATTTAACATGCAAAGAGCACTGTCATAAAAAAAATCTCATGACTAATGCTAATATTTGTTTTTGTAGCTGGGGCAAACGAACTTCTAAATTTAATGTACAGATGAATTCTATTCAGAAAGAAGCATAAAAGATAATTATTAGGTAATCAGAAAGGAAAGAAAAAGACATAAAGAATGAACCAAAAGGACTTACATTTTCATTGTCACAGGCAATCATATCTCCAAAAGAGACCTGAAGAATCGTGTTAATTCCTTTAGTTCAAAACATTTAAACTGAAGAAAATGTAAAAGTAATGTGCACAATAGTAGCTTAAACTGAAAATAACAAAGATGTAACGAAAAGGCAGAACCTGATGGCAAACGCAGTAGGTAGGTTCATTTGGATCAATGGGTTGCTCAACATCAACAGGGACAGCATATTCCTTTTTATGGCTTCCTGGGGGAGGCATGAGTTCAAAGTCCCTATCGCGCTCTCGATCCCAGTCCCTATCCCTAAAATCAAGCCTTTTTGATTGAGGTGTTACATACATAGGCTTGCGCTTTTCATTTTTAGGGACTATAGGTAATGGAGGAAGAACTGCTGGTTCATCGGGTGGTATTTTTCCTTCTGAGAGAATAGAAAGCAGATAATAAGATAAATAAATAGTAAATAAATGTTCTCACTCATTGGTTTCAAGATGTGAACCCTCAAAACAAACAGAGATGCCTGAACTGGCTGATATAGTTTATGGCTAGTAAAATGTAGGTAGGACTTCCTTGATGGTTTTCCCAATGGCAGAACTCATCTACTAAGTATAGGTGAGCAGAAAGTATGGCTTAGTAGAGTTCAATTGAGTTGAGCTTTGATTTTGTTAACTTTTCTACCTTTTTCTTCGTCCATGGCCTATTACCTTCAAGTGGCCTAACTAACTGGAATATAACTAAAAGTACTTTTGTTTCAGAATTCATTGAACGGTTTCTGATCCTTCAAAATATAGTATGGACTATTGGGACAACATTAGACTTTCACAAAGTCATGTACCTTGCTTTAAATCTTCTGCAAAGTGATTCAGATCCTCGTCAAGTCGTTTTACATGACTATCTATCTGATGCAAACACAACATGTAGAATTTCTGTAAGTTCCAATCATAAAAGATTCAAAAATTCCCAAGGCATTTGAAGCCACAAAATAAGGAAGAAATACAGGGAGAGTAGGTATACTACATTTACAATCTAAAACATATAAAAATTAATATGCCTCAAGGCTTATGCCTAACCTTGCAAGACTGAAATGCCTCACATACGAAGAAAAGAATTGAACTATTAATTTGAAAAAGTGGTGCTACATACTCCCATCTAGGATGCATTGTCATGTTCTCTAGTGGAGCACATTGTTACAGAGAAGAATCTAGCAACACATTAAGTGAATTTTAACAAAAACTTATGTTTGAAAGGCTTGTTCATTCAAGAATGGGGTGATACCCTACTGGTTCTTCAAACTTAATATTAGTTGAATGGTAATCAAGCTTATGTCATACCATTTGAAACTAGCTCACGATATTCGCTTATGTCAGCGACAATACCACCAGATAATAGGACCTTTCAACTAAGCAAGGCACTATACGAAATTCCTCAAGTAAATCATTCTCTACATTAGGATAAAGCAATCCCAGAAAGCTCCAAAAAAAAAATGTGAATTATCCAATTTAAATAACAACTCTTTTGGCAGTTAAATTATGTGTCCAAGAGCAGAAACTGACTACTATGAACTGGCATTTCATAAAAAATGCAATCCAGAATAGAATTCCACCAATTATAGCCAAAAATAAAAAAGTAACAGATGAAGTATAATATTTGAGCACCCCATTGAATAACTTGATAGAATTCAAGGAAACCCATCAGACAATATGGTTAAAAGAGAAGCTTACCAGGTCATAAGCTTGTTGCGCCAACAAAACCTTCTCAGTACACAGACTCAATGCATTATCTTGATTTGCTTCGATTTCTTTTCGGATTTTCTCAATTGCCGCTTCATCTTCTTCATTGTTATTATAGTTATGGTTATTGTTCCATTTCTTTGAGCTCTGTGAAGACAATCCCAAACAGTACTTAGTCTGCTGCCTCGTCTGGTGTATCATGGCTTATTTGCAAACACAATAATTTATCAACTTATCAGAATTTTCAATCGTACAGCTCTAAAAATTCAAAAAAGAAAGGTGTAGAATTGAAGAAGCGTGGAGTTACATTGGGAGCGTTCGTCGAGTTCTCGGATGGTGTTGAGGAGCCTCTGGAGCTCAGCAGGCAATGTGCTTGCGTCTTTGAAAACCCAAATGCAAATTCAAATTCATACGAAATTCAGTTCAAACAAATTTTAGTGGAAAAATATAAATAATTACAAGTCCAATTGAATTATCGAATACATCTTACATTCAAGATAGTCGTCGACGTACACTCCAGTCCGTGCAATTGCCATCGCAGGAAGTTTGGGGATTTTTGCTATCTAGGGTTTCTCCGCGAACTCTCGTTCAACCGGACAAAGCAGACAAGCGGCGTCGTTTAGCTTAAAACCTCAACGTGGAAAGAAAAAAGAAGAGAAATAGTATAGCCGCAGCAACACTCGGTTTTTCTAATTTTTTTTAAACTTGGTATTTCTAATTTTTTTTTTAAATAAATAGTATAGCTGGGCGGCTATACTCGGTTTGTTAAATTTTTTGGCTTCTTATCACGAATGGTCTTTGAGGTTTGCGAAATTATGACGAATGGTGCTTGAGGAATTGCCTCGTGGATGTCAACCCAGGTCTTGTTTTGTCCAATCGAGTGGGTATTGGTGTTGCCCCCTTAAGGTCTAGTTACAATTAGAAATACACCCTCTATCTTTATCCATGGATCCTTTACTTATACTTATTCATTTATAATAGAAGTAAGTAAACAACAGGGTTGGTAACTTGGGGATAGACTTGGTTCCTCAGTGACTCAGAAATGCACCATCTTTTAGGTTTTTTTTGTTATATTAATAGTCCTTAACGTTAGGTCTTTTTATCATAAATGATCATTGCCTTTAGAAATTCTATTAAGTATGACGTGGAAGATAAATAGAGCCTACATATCCAATCACATCATGACATATGGATGAAATAAATAAATAAATAAATATTTTTTTAATGAAAATTCCGTCTTTTTTTTTTCTTTTTTTTTCAAATAATTTTTTTTATGCAACTTCCCTTTCCCCTCCCTATAATCTATCTCTCTCCTCCATGTGCTTTCCCTCTCCCTCTGTTTTTTTCTCTTGCCCACTGCCACCTGCAAGAAAAAAAAAGAAAGATATACAACGGTAGAGAAAATGTAAAGTTGTATATCATACAAAATAATATAACCCATATTTTGTACATATTTGTATAGTTATATATCATAATTCACAACCTGGGAATTTCCCTTTGTTTTTTTCTTGTCCACTGCCACCCGCAAGAAAAAATGGTCTCCGTTTTTTTTAAACACTGCAACCCACAACCCACGCTCAACTCCCCCACCCTCTCCCTCCCTCTGTATTTTCTCTCCTCCTCTACTCTCCCCCTCTGTTTTGTATGAATAAATGTTTGTGTGAAAGGATATGTGGCACTGCCTTATGCAAGTGATTATTTTCCAAAATATACAGAGGGAGAAGGTGGGGTTGGGCGTGGGTTGTGGGTGGGGATGGCTTGTAGAGGTAAGAAAAAAAAACAGAGGGAAAGGGAGAGCACAGGGAGGAGAAAAAGGCTAGAGGGAGGAGAGAGAGGACAACCCGGGGGGTGTGGGGGCAGAGAGAGAGAGAGAGAGAGAGAGAGAGGCTAAATGGATTTTAATTTTTTTATTACATGGATTTTCATTAAAAAAATATTTATTTATTTAATCCACATGTCACAATTTGATTGGACATGTGGACTCCACTTATCACATTAGCCACTTAACATAATTTTTAATAATAATGACAATTTGTGATTAAAAAGTCATAATGTTAAGGACTATTAATGTCACGAAAAAACCTAAAGGACCATTCATGACAATTTCGTAAATATCAAGGACCATTTGTGATAAAAAACCAATTTTTTTTAAAAAGAAATAGTATAGCCGCACGGCTGTCCTCTTTAACTATCTTCCCCCATCCTTTTTTTTAATATAATTATTTTCCCATAATTTTCATTTATCGATAAAAGTAATTTAGAGCATTATCCATTATTGTTAGGCCATTGCCCAAGTCTCTATTGTCCAATTTTGATTTCTTGCTTTTCCAAAGTTATTACTTGTATAAATAATTTAGCATTTTGCTGTTTAATACTCGTATTATGCACGTACATAAGTATTTTTAAATAATACTTTTATTTTCCGTATACATCTTTAAAACTAGGTAAAATGAGTATTTTTTAAAAAGTAAATATATAATACATGTATTGTACACAAATGCACTTATTTTTCATGTTCAATATACGTGTTCTTTTACAAAATTTTCAATAATACACAAACAATTCACATATTATACACAACATACTCACATATTATTCAATAAAAATAAAATATACTAAAAAATTTAAATACTAATTATTCACTAAGTAAATTATAATTACTAATTAAAGTAATTTTAAAAAAAGATATTCAAAGGGTACAGCCGCGCGGCTATAAATAGAATATTCCAACAGTATAGCCGAACGGCTACGCCATAAATAGATTTTTTGAAGTGTAGCCGTACGGCTACGCCATAAATAGACCAATTTTTTTCTTCTGTTTTTGCCTTTTCAAACAGAGTCTATCTGGAAAGGACCCAAAAGCAAATAGACCCCACTATTTCATGGACCTCCTCCATATACCTCCCACCTCTGCCGAAATGGTCAATTGGCTGAAGCTGTTGCGCATTTCATCCAAATGAGACGAGCCGGCGTCGAGCCAAATCACATCACATTCGTTACGCTTTTCTCCGGCTGTGCTCATTTTCCGGCCAAGGGTGTGTTGTTTGGGCCTCCGCTTCACGCTTACGCCTGGAAACTCGGCTTGGATACAAATAATGTGATGGTGGGCACGGCGGTGATTGATATGTATGCAAAGTGTGGTGGGGTGGATTTTTCTAGACTCGTCTTTGATGGGCTGGATATGAAGAATTCAATGTCTTGGAATACGATGATGGATGGGTATATGAAAAATGGCAAGGTTGATAATGCGGTCGAGCTGTTTGAACAAATGCCACACAGAGCTGCGGTTTCTTGGATGGTTTTGATTGGTGGGTTTGTCAAGAAAGGCCAGTTCGAGCAAGCATTGGAGTGGTTTCGTGAGATGCAGCTCTCGGGTGTGGAACCAGACTATGTGACCATAATTGCTGTAATTGCTGCCTGTGCTGATTTGGGAACGCTTGGATTAGGCTTGTGGATAGACCGGTTTCTTGTGAAGCAAGATTTTAGAGACAACATTAGGATACGTAACTCGCTAATCGATATGTATTCTTGATGTGGCTGTATTGGTTTTGCTTGTCAAGTCTTCGAGAGCATGTCTAAAAGGACACTGGTATCATGGAACTAGATAATTGTGGGCTTTGCTGTTAATGGGCACGCAGAGGAACCTCATGCAGAAGGAAGGGTTCAAGGCAGACGGGATCAACTTCACTGGAGCTTTTACGCATGCAGCCAAGCCTGTTTAGTCAATGAGGGGCTACATTACTTTGATAACATGAAGAGAATTCACAGAATAACCCTGAGAATTGAGCATTTTGGGTGCATAGTTGATCTGTATAGCCGTGCAGGGATGTTGGAAGATGTCTTAAATGTAATAAAAAACATGCCAATGAAGCCAAATGAAGTTGGGGTGGGTTCTTTGCTAGCTGCATGTAGAACCAATGGGAATATCAGTTTAGCTGAAAGATTAATGAAGTACCTCTATGAGTTGGATCTTGGTGTTGATTCCAACAATGTACTCTTATCCAATACATATGCAGCGGATGGAAGGTGGGATGGTGCAAGCAAGGTTAGTAAGAACATGAAAGCCCTCGGAATACAAAAGACGCCGGGGTTTAGTTCAGTTGATATAGACTGTAACATTCATGAATTTGTGGCCGGTGATAAATCTCATGTCGACGCAGAGCATATATATTCAACCCTAGAGCTTCTCTCTTTTGAGCTCAAATTATGTGGGTATGTTCCAGAAAACTTTGTGAGGGAATCATACGAGTTTGATTGATACTTGTAGGTTATATGAAGATACAATACATTTTTGTATGTACTTATCAAGCTCCAAAATATATGTCCATATAAATCTTTTCCAGAATGTGAAATTAAACCATCACTGGTAGTCTGTCTTAATAGGATTAGTAAAGAAATCAGTACAGTTTAGTTTCGTGATTTTTGTGATTAACTGGGTTGGCCTTCTGAAAAAATATAATGTAAATAAGGGAAACAGACGCACATAACGCACAAGAAGGTGACCTTTAAGGTGATAATGAATTCCTTCCTCACCGTTTTGACTTATCCTCCATCGTAATCCACCAAACACGATGCTTTGATTAGTTACAAGCCCACGCTACTAGGCTCGACAATGGTAATGTTCCGTATATCACAAAGGCTCCCTTTTCCCCTTTTCCTAAAAGTAGGAAACGCTTCACTCAGTGCAATTTAACTGGAAATGGTGCATGTTTTGTTTTGGGACTGAAATTATTAAACGAAACGAACTTGACATCTACTGTGTCAGTTAAGTAATTTTTGGAAATTAACATGCTCACAAATTGTCCTGGCCTTTGTAAACTTGCAAGCTTTTACCCACTCTGGCATCAAGCTTTGAACTTTAACCTGAAGGTGTGTGCTTGCTAGGGAAGAGATGATATATATACCTTAAAAAACCTGTGTTTGGGAAGAGACCTTGTATTTGTCCTTAGCTAAGAAGTTTTTCTATTGTTGGTGAGTGAGTGACTGAAGCTGCAAGATGACCTGGTAGAATAACCTTACATATAATATATATTATATCTAGCTAATAATTAGACTAAGTCGAAAGAGGTTTGTGATCAAATGCAGTTGTTTGATAAATAAAAAAATTGTAATTAGCAGGATGCCAATTCTATTGGTTAATTGACTAAAAACCTTTCTCATAAAAGAACATGAAATTGTCAAGATCTATAAGAAATGATGGCATCCGCCAAAGTTTGGTTCTGTATATTCAAAAATCAGTCTCTTTTCAATATCTGTATACCAAGAGTAAACCCTAATTTTCTTACTCTTGGTGAACAGTTAGCAGATCACGGAGAACCTCGGACGTTTGATGGCATTTTTCTTTCAGTCTGAGAAGGGCAGAACTGACAAATTCTTACGTCCTTGGGTGGTTTGCCGTCTGTAGCATTTTTGTCCATTGCCATCAACCTATACTTTTGCATAAACTAATATGCTTTAACAATGGTAGAGACAGGACATCCATCCAAAATCTGTTCCATCTGTTCCCTGCAAAAATTCCTAGGCTAAGAACTCCCAGTAACTAGAAACCAACTTTCTATGTGCAACGCAAGCTTGTTTACCCCAGACTTGAGAAATCAAACTCACTGATGACCTTTTGCAAGCACTTCACTGTAAATGCCTGATAGAGATGCTACAGCAAGTCGTCTTCCTTAAAGCATCTGTTCCACTCTCTCAGCTACCTCTACCTTCCCATGAATCCTACAAGCGCCCAACAACGCACCCCATAATGCCTCATCTGGTTCCACTGTCATCCCCAAACCAACTCCTCTGCCTCCTCCACCCACCCTGCCTAACATATCCACCATACAGGTATAATGCTCCAACCCCGGCTTCACCCCGAACCTATGCTCCCCATAATTTCAAAATACTCCCTCCTCTTGTCTGTTAATCCGCCATGACTACACGCTGTCAAAACCGTAGTGAATGTCACCACATCTGGCCTCTCTCCTGCCTCCATCCTATCAAACAATTCAAATACCTCACCAAACACTCCATGCATTCCATACCCGGCCAAAATTGCCAACCAAGAAATCTCATTTCTTATGAGCATTCTGTCAAACACTACGCGTACCAGCCAAATCACCACACTTAGCATACATGCTGATCAACGCATTCAAGCTGGCCAAATCTAAGGCAAACTCATCAACCAAAATGGCTCCATGTACTTGCTTTCCAAGCCTCAATTCCAATAATCCAGCACAAGATTTGAGAACCACAGGCAAGGTATGGCAGTCAAAGGCTTTAATGGCAGCAAGCATGCGGAGAAAATTGGACAAAGATTGAGAGAAGAAGCCCTGAAATGAATGGGCTCTAATGAGGGTGTTGAAGAGGAAGGTGGGTTGGCAATTGCAGGAGAAGAGGAGGTTGGCCTGGTTCAGTTGGGCACAGGAGGCATAGGAGAAAACAAGCTTGGTTCGAATGAAATCGTGGCGGGAAATGCAGAGCCTTATAGATTTAGCGTGGAGGTGTTCGAGGGTTTGGAGGTTCTTAGACGAAGAGCAAGCTTCGAGTGGATTGGCGTAAAATAGTATCAGGCCACCGCAAGGAGGAGGAGGCATGGCCATGGCTGCCTATTTAAGGAATGAACTGGTTTAGTTATGGAGAAATCAATTTTGAGCACTAAAGAGGAAATCTTTCTTTCTTTCGTTTTTTCTCTTGCTGCTGCAGACACTTGGTTTCAATTACAGAAAGAGAAATTACAGACAACAAACACACTGAAACAAACAGAGACAATTGAAGAGAGAGAAAGAGATAGCCATGGAAGCTCGAGGTTCAGCATAAGAAGTATGGGATTCTATCTTCATTTTCTCAGCTTTGAAAACCCATCTGGCTATGGAGGGAAGCTGGAGATGGAGGCTATGCAATTTTCTGCTTAGACCAATCACACAAGATATGGTGCCACTTATAGAGAAATCATGGAACAGCAAACATGCTTAATTGGATACTACATAAATTTGGAGGTAAATACAATACAACAGACAGAAGATTATTATTGAATTACATATGCTTAAATAAGTTGAAACTTTCAGACCAATTATCACACAAGATTAACCAACAAATTAATCAATTAGAAACCTTAGCAAATATTCCATCTGCTTGGAGCTGAACAAGATGCTCTATCATCTTCTTTGCCTTCTTGCTCAACTGGTACCGCGACATCAACAGGCCATACAACCAACGAAACCACCCGCTGTTGGCGTTGCCTTTATATTCGAAAAACTTGGTAGCCTCTCCGGTGAGCCGGTCAACGCTGCTCAGCCATTTCTCAACTTCATCTCTGACCACCACTTCTCCCCTCCTCTTTGCATCTTCAACAGCTTGCAGCACCAAGTGTCTTGTAGCCTTGAGCTTCTTGACTTGTTTCAAGAGGTTTTCAATGTTGGTCTTGTAGCTTAGAATGTAAGCAACATAAATGTCTAGGTATTTGGTCACCACAGGACCACTGCAGGCTAGCAGATACTTGGCCAAGTACTGCCCAATTATTGGTTTGATTGGAGCAACCAATTGATCCACAAAGCACTCAATTCCCACAAATGTAAGAAACCCTGCAGCCAAGGGCATGAGGGAAGCTATCTTTCTGGTGCCAGCTTCTAATAAATTCTGGACAACAACACTACTAGTCATGCTTATATAACTTAAGACTCTAATTTTTTGAATTGAAAATCTGAAAATGAACAAGAAGATAGATGCAATGTGGAAGGAATGCGAGAAAAGAGAAGAATTTAATGAAGTCAGAGAGGAGATTATAGGAAGAAACAAGGAAAGAGCAGCAAAATATGTTCACATTAAATTAGTTATTTAAAGAAAGACTTGGTTTTATGAAGTCTATAGCTTATGTTTATATATAACAAGTTAACAACTCTAAGGCACATGATCATTGAATCAGTAATAAATAAAATAATAGCCACAAATCAAGGTCCTGGTGCATATATAAAATAGATTACATTCAATTAATTAATAAAAGACTTATTGTTCATCATGGGTGACATTTTACAAGAGTTGACAAGTGTGTTTCTATTGGATTGTATCAACAAAAAAAGGTGCGGGATGAAAGATTTTAAAATTAAAATTTGAGATATTTGTACAAGATTTAAGACTTTGAGCAACCCCTCCTTGAGAAATAGAGGCAGATATTTAATCGATTGGTAACTATATTTGATTGGATTTTGATTTTTTCATATATTTTTTGTATATATCAGGTGGAAGAACTCTACCAAACCATACAACATAGTGAAACCCATCATTAAATATATAGAGGCCTCTGGAATCTAAGCTCTCAGCAACTAGTGGTAACCTATTCTCTATGCTTTTCAAGTCATCAGCCTCAGAAGATGCCTACAAATACAAGAAGTGGAAACAAATTTAATGATTGCCAAATGACATTACTCAACTTAAGTTGATGGAATTTTATTACCTTCAAAAGATACTCATCAAGCCGTATCAAACATGGATATAGGAGCTTTAACAGGTTTTTAACTGGCAGAGACTCTGGGTATATCATCTTCCCTCCCAAGTGGTGTTGTGGATATTCTTTGAGGACTTTGACAATTCTTAGCTGCAAAGAGTTCCGAGCATCTTCCAACTTATGGGACAAAGCTTTTTCAACTGCCGAAAATTATTTCCGAACAACTTACGAAATCAAGATTCACAATATATAAAACACCACTAGAATAGCCTGGAAAGCAAGGTGACAATGGCACCTGTAGCAGCCTGGGGGTACATCTCTCCCAGATCTGCAACCACTGGTGCTGCTGCCGTATGTACTCTAATACGCCTTTCTCCACAGGATGCAGTGTATCTTTAAAATGTTAAGGACACTTCACGAGTTGATAACCTTCACAATACCATTGCAGAATTGCCACCAAAGCAACTTAAACTAGACCGTCAACTATGCAGAGCGAGTATAATGAATAAAACTTCATTATGTAACTCAAAAGAGAACTTCAGAAGAAGAATATCAGAAGGAGATGATTTTATAATGGAAATTTAAAGAGATACCAACAGTCATAACAAAAGTAGTGTTAGCAATTGACATTGACAGCATGATATGTGAATAATCAAAAGATAAACAAGCACCATACAGGCATGTCTATGCGTAGTTAAAACTTAAAATTAAACATTCAAACTGAAGGATACATCAAAGCAACTTGGAAATATACTGTCTGAATAGTTAGTAACGACTCAATGCTTTATCACAATCTACAGCTGGAAGTGCTAATAAGTCGGTGGACCTCAGCATAAAGTTCCCATGATAAGATGTAAAGCGAAGTCCTAGAAGTATAAACAAGTAACAAAACATTAGCATATTTCAAGACAGACAAATAACATATGTATGTGAATCCAATTGAAGTGGTTCTGGAGAATCATCAATAGCACACCTTTTCCACATCTTATGCACATGACTGCTAGTAAGGTCTCTCACTAACTCATGTCTCAACTTCTCTCCATGAATTGTTGATTGAAAATTAGGGTAATAATACACCTGTCCCCGGTATACCATTACTAAGCAAATGAAGATCATAGGAGAGGAGAGCAAACATTAATGCAAGAAATTTGTAATTAAAAAAACAGTTAATGCAAGAAATATCAGAAAACCATAGTAAAAGCAAATTTCCTCACAACTAAAAATTGGTAGATAATGTAGGAGTTCTGAACATATCAACAGAGAGAAATATCAGTAGAAGATCCTCCGATTTCCTACATCATCTTGATCTTTGGTTCTATGATAGTGAAACAGAAGATAAAATCACCACTATATACCTAATGAGGCTATATCAGTGTACTTGTCACTGAAGGCATATACATCTACCCCTATCTGGAACTTGGTAAATTCTGCAGCCATCTGCTTGTAGAAAGGATCCTCTGGTAGTCTCAATGGATCATCTTTATCAGTTCCATAGACACAACGATCATCTTTATGCAACTTCAAGCAGCCAACACCAAGAGATGGCAGTGTATTCTGAAAAATTAACAACTTTCCCCCAAAGTGGCTATGCAGAAGATAATGCAGAGTAAATGAACAAAACTCTTAGAAATGCATAAAGAAGTAACTTAATAGCAAATTACTCAAGAAACACCTAGATTAATTAAAGGAATCAACCACCAATTCAAATGCCTTCTAAGTAAAAGAAAAGAAAACGAACAACAATAGAAAAAAACGACACAAACCTTTACTTTACTTTACGGGCATGCAGAACACCTATGAGGATCCCAAATCTTCCAGTAACTGCCCATAGCAAACATTGTAAAACCATGTGAATGATGATATCCCACCACTGCAAATCTTATGATATCCACTTCCCCAAGGAAAAACAAAAAAGAAGAGGAACAAAAAACTTATCAGAATAAAAATGGCGCAAGCTGAAAAAAAAAATGGTATTACCATGTCAGTGCATTCCTCTACTGACTCTACTAAAATTTCTACCATTTAGTTTCTTCATCTACCTATCCATACAGTCAAAAGGCAAAAAAAATAAAATAATAAAAGAGCAGCTTTGGCATGTCATGTAAGATTATTAAGAACATCAACCCATATGTATGGTAAAAGAAAAAGAAAAACATAGATTAGAATTCAATTTTTCGATTTACTGCCTTTACTGAAATGCGTGACTCATCAGAAGAAGAACGATCAGAGATGTATGCAAAACCTCTGACAACCTTTAATGGACCTTGGCAATTATGAAACAATCATCTTTTGATTGATTTTTTTCATTGCTTTTATAAATGTAACAATTGTGTTCTTCACCACCACATAAACCTTATATCTAAAACAGTCCATATGTAATAACTAAGAAGGGACAATTGAGCTCACAACTAGGATAACTTCTTTTGTCACCAATAGCCTCGGCAGGAGCAGGATCCATTCTCGAAATGATGAAAGCGACTTGAGTCCCTCAATATGATTTCGTGCTCAACAATCTTGGATATGTAGGTAATCGCACTATGGCAATCTCCACAGACACGTAAGTTCTTGGTGATCCGGATAGGTGCGCCTGGTGGAGTAGTTAGGATTGCATAGGCCAAAGCCAACTTCTCACTATGCTCGAAAAGAAGGTCTCCTTTCTCTTCATCATCGACATCGTGAAGTGCATAGCTTGTCTCAGGGACATATCCAATCTCTTTGATCCGTTTAATCAAGTCAGCAAGGGTCTCATAAATTTCTTGAGACTGTGGATGAGTCCTATCACCCACAAAGAAGGTTGCATTGCCTTTCTTTCCTTGCACCCAACTGCAACCAGGCTTCTTCTTGATGCCCGTATGTTTCATTAACAATCTGATTCTGGCCACATCTTTCCAACGCCTGGCATTGGCATATATGTTTGAAATCAATGTATATGAACTATCATTCTCTGACTCCGTCTCTGATAACTGATGTGCAACATATTCACCAAGTTCAACATTCCCATGGGTCCTGCACGCACTGAGCAAGGCCACCCATGTAATTGGTGTTGGTTGCATAGGCATGCCTTTGATCAACGCTAATGCGGCATCCAAGCGACCAGCACGACCCAAGATGTCAACCATGCAAGCATAGTGTTCTGCCCCAGGAACAACCCCAAAATCTGTGCTCATGCTGTTAAAGTACCTCATTCCTTCATCAACCATTCCAGAATGGCTGCAAGCATAGAGAACAACAACAAAGGTTACACCATCAGGCACCAGCCCCACTCTCCTCATCTCATCAAAAATTTGCAGGGCTTCTTCACCGCGACCATGCATTCCATAACCTGTCATTAGTGAAGTCCAAGAAACAGCATTCCTTTGTTGCATGTAGTCGAACACAACTCTAGCAGCATCAATGTCTCCAGATTTGGAATACATATCAACCAGGCAATTGGACACAAACAGCTTCACAAAATCATACTGATTGCGTAGTACAAAAGCATGAATTTGCTTACCAAACCTCAGGGCACCCAGACGAGCACAAGCCATCAGGGCACAAGATATAGTAAAAGCGTTTGGCTTTAGGGGGAAATCCTGTCTGAGCATCTGGTAGAAGAGTTCTAGTGCCTCATTAGCTTCCCCATGTTGGGCATATCCACCAATCATCACAGTCCAAGTCACCACATTCCTTTTCTTTGGTGCAACAGAATCAAACATCATTCGTGCAACTTTGGGACTCTTGCATTTAGTATACATGTCAATCAGACCGTTAATTACCATTATATCATTTCCAGGGTCATTTCTGTCTAGGTTCAGGATCCATTTTATTGCATAACAATGAGTTTCCTTTCCATGAATCAGTGCTCCAGCAGAGGCACACCCTGAAAGAAGAGATACGAGGGTAACAGCATTTGGCTCAGAGCCACACGCCTGCATTTGCCGAAACACATCCAGCGCCCCATAACCATGTCCCCTCTGAGCATATCCTGCAATCACAGCACTCCAAGTGACAACATTCAACTCAATCTTCTCCTCCCTCATCTTCTCAAAAAAACCAATAGCATCGTCAAGTCTACCAATCTGAGAATACCCAGTAACCATGGCATTCCAAGAAACCACATCCTTTTCTTCCATCCTCTCAAATACCTTGTTTGCCTCATCCATCATCTCACACTTAGCATACATATCAACAACGGCATTACCCACAAACACATCTTCAAATAATCCCCTCCTAATAGCATAACTGTGAATCTGCTTACCCCACATTGGTGCCCCAGCCGAGGCACAAGCAGGAAGAACATTAACTAAGCTAAAAGCATCTGGGCGTACACTAAAATCGCCCATCATCCGATCAAACGTTGAGAGTGCATTCTTCGAATCTCCACTCTGAACATAAGCTGACACAATTGAATTCCAGGACACAACATCCCCTATTCCTCTCTCAAGCAATTCATCGAACATTTTACGCGCATCATTCAAAGCGCCACAGCGGCCATACATAGCAACAACCGCATTGCAAACAAACACATTTGAATTAAAACCATTTGCATACAAAGCAGCATGGACCGAAGAGCCTCGACTGAACATGTGAAGCTCGCCGCAAGCCTTGAGAACAAAGGGGTAAGTATAATGGTCAGGCCTCCACCCAAGCATTTGCATTCGCCCGTGGAGACAAAGCACGTCATAAAGCAACCCAGAGCGCACGGCACTCCGTATAAGCACATTCCACCAGAAAACAATTGATGGGCACGGCACAAGGCGCTGGAGCAACGCCAAGGCTTGTGAAGGAGCATTGCAAGCTACATAGGCGGCAATGAGGTCGGTTACGGTGTGCGTGAGGCCTTGGACCAGGATATGTTGGTGGATGAGCTTAGCTTGGAGAAGAGAATTGCATTGTCTCAGAAGTATTGATGTTGTCGTTGGTTTGGTAGAGAACAAAGCGCTGGTGGTTATGTTGGTCAAGTGTTTACTTACGGGTTTCAGACAAAGCAAGACGCAAAGCATGCTAAGGGATTACTGGATTCTCAGAATCACAATATGAAATGAAGAACCCGATAAAATGGGTAAAGAAAATATGACTGTTGTATTCAGAAACTTGAGCGCGAAGGCTTCTCTATGTTGCACCGATACGCCGGTCATGAGGGGTATGCTCGTATCGGATACTCCTCCGATACGGCAAACGACGTATCGTGGACTTTTCTGTTATGTTTACCACCTTCGATACGCCGTGGACACACGAGCGACACGGTCAAGGATATGGCGGGGGTATTTCACAATATACTTAGCCTCTTCTTCTGGATTCGACAGAGGCTAGTTTTTACCGGATTCGACAGAGGCTAGTTTTTACTGGTTTCGGCAGTAGAGAAGAAAGAAGAAGAAGAAGGAATAAGGAATAAGGGAGAAGAAAAGAACTTACTTGCGCACTGCAGCTGCTGCGAATCTCCAGTTGCAGTTGCTCTGCGAAGAAGAGGAGGCTAACTCGTGAAGAACATGATGTTGCCCCAGTTACAATACGATCGTTTTACTTGCATGCCTTGAGTGAAAGAAACAGTAAGTTTCACTATGGGCTAGTGCCTAGGTCTGCTTTACTAATGGGCTAGCTTTGACAAAAGAAAAGCCCACTATAAGAAGATGAGAACCAAATTGGGTTATTATAAGTAAGCCCAACCCAGATGCCCAAACTTTGATAATTCTTTGGGCCCATTATTGACCTGTTTATATTATTTTTTAAAATATATATTATTAATCGTTGCATCGGTGCCGTACCCGTATCCTAATTTTTGAAGATTTGTCATATCGGTGTACTTGTATCTGTATCTGTGCAACATAACTTCTCACCAACCAAACAAAATCGAATAGGAGTTAGGGCTAAATTATCTCTTACAGATGTAAGAATAAATAATAAAATAAATTCCTTCCAAAAAAATTAGAAAAATAACAAATCTCTAGCTTCTGTGCCAATGGTCTAGCCCCAGTCAAAAATGACATTGACTTGCGAACAAGAGGTCTATTTGAACCCCCATGGCACCTTGGTAATGTGTGTGTGAGAAACCCCCTCCTCAGTAGTTTAAACTATCACTTGTACTGAAAAATAAAAAAACCTAAAGGGGAGATAGTGCTTCTCACACACACTACCAAAGTGTCATGAGAGTTTAAACATTAGGCCACTAATTTGTAAGTAATGGCGGACCCACGAATTTTTCTAGGAGTGGGCAAAGTTTTTTTTTTTTGGGAGGTCTTTTATAACCAAGAATTTTTGGGCTAATTAATATTATATGGCAGGATTATTATTATTATTATTATTATTATTATTATTATTTTTTAAAAAATAGGCTTATTTATTGAAATGCCCCTTGTGGTTTCCAAATCTTCTCAGTTTGCCCCCTGACGTTTTAAATGACTCAATCTCCCCCCTGAATTTCCATTATGTGACCAAGGTTGCCCCATTCCGTTAGTTTTTAGATTAAAAACCATTAAACTGCTGATGTGGCATGGTTATGTTGTTAATTTTAACTATTAAAAATTAAAAAAATCAAATTGAATTAAAAAAAAAAAAAGGCTTGAAATTATTCAAAAATCAAATATGTAAAATTATATAATAAAAAAAACAAAAACAAAAAAGAAAGTCTTGAGCTGTGAGATCTAGTCGCCCCATCTCGAAATTACGACTGTTGATCTTGAGCTTCAAGTAGTGTTTGATGAGTTCTTCGTCAGCCTGAATCAAAACCTTAGAGGTTTAATCCATTGATAAAACGGCCAAGCCTGATCGGTGATATTCTTCGTCCCTCACTTTGTGTGTAATCTAGTCCAACAGTGAGTGTAATATGTTGGTTTTGAGTGAGAGATATGTTGGGCAAAATAGGGGATGAGATTTGAGGAGATTAGGAGAGAGCTGAAGGGGATAGAATTGGTGGGTTTGAGGAAGAGTTTGATGGGTTTTGATTAATTATAATGTTTGTGGCTATTGTAGTTGGGTCAATGTTGTTGGTGTTTGAGGTTGCAGGAGTTCTGGGGATGAAGATGGGCCACATTCAATCATGTTTCAAAATTCATTTGCTTTTCTTTGAATAATTGGGTTGGTGATGGGTTTCGTTGTTCTCGATGACAAAGATGCTAATTCATTTTGGAAATTTATTTTCTTGATTTTTGATATTGGAAACCAAAAGTTTTAGACACCGAGCAAGAGGGGTTGAAGAAGAATGAGAGCTTTAGAGAGAGATAGAAGGGGAGAGGGAGAGGAGACAACTGGGTTTGTGTGGGAAGATGAGTTTGGTGGTTGTGGGTGGGATGGGAGGTGTGGCTGGCTGCTGATGTGGTTAGGTGTACAATGGGGTAGTGGTGTGATGGAGTCAAAGAAGATGATGCAGAACTTTGGGGTTGTGTTCATTCTTTTTTTGTTTTTTTTTTTAAATTTTTATGTTATTTTATTATTTTACATATTTGATTTTGAATAATTTCAAGTAATTTTTTAATATTTCAATTTTTAATAGTTAAAATTACTAAAATACCCATGCCATGTCAGCGGATTTAACGATTTTTATCTAAAAACTAGCGGAATAGGCAACCTTGGTCACATAATGGAAGTTCAGGGGGGAGATTGAGTCATTTAAAACGTCAGGGGGCAAATTGAGAAGATTTGAAAACTACAGGGGGTATTTCAACAAATAAACCTAGAAAATATGGTAGGATTTCAGTGAGTAGAAGAATAAGAAATCTAATGTGGGTAGCTAGGATGGGCTAAATTCAAAAAGATAAGAGGGTTAATTTTTAATTGTAGTGGATTTTGTTGTTCAATTAAGACTAAAGTACAAAACCAGCATTGGACTAAAGCCCAGTCAAGCCCCTTCGTCAGTCCGCCCTTGTTTGTAAGTCAAGGTCATTTTCTATTAGGCTAGACCGCAAATTTTTAGATTTATAATTGAAGACAACGTCGTAAAGTGCTCGTAATAATTTACGGGCATTTGTTTTTCATTTTTTTCAAAATAAAAACAAAAAAATTGAAATGTAACATACATGTGGTGCTATAGGAAAATAATAGGACGATTCACGAGTTTGGTTTCTTTTTTGTTGTTGTTGTTGTTGTTGTTGAAATCACTAGAGCTTCAACAGTGCGTTATTTAAGGTAATAGAATGAAATATTAGCGCAATATGCCACATGACACCCAGCTTGCTTCAAGATCGGGCTGAAGTCGGCAGCAGTGCCAAGTTGGCTGTGACTCATAGCAGCGACCGAATAGCTGTGGTGGGAGGTTCCACCATGGATTGCGATGGCATTGCAGTGAGGGACATCAAAGTCAACCGTGAGGCTGCAAGGTTACCACAGCCTCGAGACCTTGTGCTTGAGCCGTAATTTTTGCTACAGAGCCTTTTGGTGATGTAAGGCCTATGGTAGCTGCGGCAACGCGGGCTGTAGTGGTGTTCGTGGCCATGAGGCCAGGCGGTGGAGCGATTGGTGCGGTGCTCTCGGGCATGGTGTCGGGAGGCAAAGCAGCGGCATCGGCCGTGGGGCCGTGGGATGGATAGCTTGGGCCTATCGCGGATTGCGTCGTTGCTGCGGTTTTACCTCTCTTTTGTAAGAGTTTTTCACTTATCATTTGTTAATGCTTTATTTGTATTGTTCTGGCTTGGTTTTCCCAAGCTTTATTAATGTAAGATAGTTTACTATCTTAAACTCGCATAAAGTGGTCTTCTAATCATTATCGGATTGCAAGACCTCCAAATTAATCAAGGGCTCAAAACAATCTCAGCCAGAAGACTTGTATCAGTGTTTTAATTGGATTACAAGGCTAAAGTGGTTTCTAGTTCTGTTAGAATTGAGATTCACTATTCTATTGCAATAAGGATACCTCAAGGAGTTTCTTGGTAGGCAAGAGTCCTTGAGTGATGCATATAAATAGATGAGCTCCCTCTAAGAGCCGATACACACAACTCATCAAGATATTCACCCCATCTAGAATATTGAGCTAAGGCAATCGTTTATCTTAGAGAAGAACTCTCTCTCAAGTCAAGGTTTCATACAATGGCAGAGCAAGGTTAGTGCTCAAGTTTTAATAGCTTATTAGGTTTACATGTGGTATCAGAGCCAGGTTATTTTATCTTCTACCTAACCAATTTTGTTGCAGTATTAAGAACTTGAAAACTCAAGGTTAATTTAAGTTTTTCAAGATTAAAGAAACTTGTCACAGCAACAGTTACAGTGTGTTTGGATGAAGAAATTTAAAAGTATAAAGGATTTCATAAATGACGGAATTTAAAATGACAGAATTTAATGTTCTAGAATTTGTAAAGTTTCTTGTTTGGGTGATGGATTTAAAACACGGAATTTAACATTTATTTGTAAAGTTATCTTTTTTTAAAACTCAATCTCTCTTGGGATTTTAGGAATGACGACTTTTAGATAGAATTTAAAGTTGGGATTTATGATCTCCAAATTCCATGTTTTTTCCCATGCGTAATTTCTAAATTTCTATGTTTTTTTAATCCAAACACGGGAATTGGTTCATGTCAATTTAGAAATTTTGACTTTTGTCAAAATTCCAAGTTTATTTCCCTCATCCAAACGCACCGTTAAGGCTAACACCTCGCTGTGATAAGAGGAAACTGATCAATTGGTTTGTAGAGTTCTTGCAGTGTTTTGAGTAAGCCAAAGCAACTCAGACATTGCAAGATCTGTACACTCAAAGGTTTATGATTAAACTTGTGCTACAAATAAAGGCATAATGACTGACCCTCTGTCCAAAGATGTGGGTGATTCATAATGCAATTATTTACAGCAGAACAACATGGGAGATGAAACACATAGGTTAACAAGATTTTTCTTATGTCCAAAGATGTAGAAATCCTCTTGTACAAAAAGCCTGCGTGATTTTCATGTCTCAGTGTTGATAAACATGTTTTTGTTTTCTCTGCCTAAAGGTGAGAATCAACCATGTTTTTAAAGTTTCGGGGTTTTTCAGTTTTTAAACATATATACAATGTGTTTTTCAGTTAATCACAACTTGATTGAAACTCTCATTGGCTCTAACTACACCAAATGGCGAGAAGATGTAGAAATTGCTCTAGGTCTGCTGGATTATGAGATGGTCATTGAAGAAGAAGCTCCTGCAGAACCTCCTGCCAATGCATCTGCTGAAGCAAAGGCAAACAAAATGGCTATTCTAATAATGAGAAGGTCAATTTCACCATTTGTCAGGGGAAGCATTACACCATCTGATAATCCTAAGAAGTTTATTGATTCTATTGGGGAGAAGTATCAGGAATTAGAAAAGGTTGAGATTGGAACTCTAGTGGGACAACTCACTAATGCAAAATACAATGGGGGAAGATGTGTAAGAACACACATACTGAACATGCTGGAAATTGGGAACAAACTGAAGGCACTCAAAGTAAATGTGGATGAGACCATGATGGTGCATTTTGCTATAAACTCTCTGCCTAGTACTTTTAAGCATCTTAGAAGCACATATGTAGCTCAAAATGAGAAGTGGACAATAACTGATCTCATAAGCATTTGTGTGCAGGAAGAACAAAATATGAAGAAAAATAAGGCTGAAGAAAAGATTAATATGATTCAGAGCTTCAAAAGGGATTTTGGAAAAGGCAAAACTGCTGGAAAGAAAAAAAAGGAAGAAAAGGAAACTAAGGGACTGAAACTAGAAGGACTCAAGTGTTATTTTTGCAAGAAGTTTGGTCATATGAAGAGGAATTGTGACAAGTACAAGCATTGGTTGGACAAGTAAAAGACTAAAGTTAAGACTGATCAAATATATGTTTGTTTTGAGTCTAATACAATTGAGATTTCTTCATATTCATGGTGGTTAGATAGTGGTGCAAAGGTTCATGTGGCTAATTCTTTTCATGGGTTCAAAACAAAGAGGCTGCCAAGCAAGTCATAGATGAAGGTGTTCGTGGGAAATGGAGAAAAAGTCAAGGTAGAGTACATTGGATTAGCTAAGATCGAGTTGGGGTCTAGTTTTATTTTGGAGTTAGTAGATGTAGTTTATATTCCTTCTATGAAAAGGAATCTTATTTCAGTTAGTAAGCTTGTAAAATCAAACTTGCAGTTTGAGTTTGATGAGTCTGGATTCCCCATTTTTATAAATAAATTTATGATTGGTAATGGTTTTCTAGATGATGGCATGTTTCGTTTGAATTGCAAGAAACCAAATCCGAGCACTATTAATCTAAACATCAATCTGATAAGCACTAAAAGAAAAGCAGATAGAGAAGAATCATATAGACTTTGGCACAAGAGACTAGGACATGTCTCGAATGAAAGAATGAACCTGCGAAACTGCTGGAAATTATACATACTGACATATGTGGTCCTTTTCCCACTCAAACACACGACGGTTTTAAGTATTTAATAACCTTCACAAATGAATTCTCAAGATATGGTTATGTATACTTAATATCTGAAAAATCCAATGCAGTAGACATGTTTAAAGTTTACAAAGTAGAAGTAGAAAACTAGCTGGATTCGAAAATAAAAGTGGTAAGGTCAGACAGAGGATGTGAGTTTTATGGCAGATTTGATGAGAAAGGAAGAAACCCTGGACCTTTTGCAAAGTTTTTACAAGAAGAAGGAATTGTGGCTCAATGTACTAATCCAGGTACGCCACAACAAAATGGAGTGGCAGAGAGACGAAATAGAACATTGATTGAAATTATAATAAGCTTAATGTGTTGTTCTAAGCTTCCGAAATTTATCTGGGGAGAGGCCTTGAAAATAGCAAACTATTTGCTGAATAGAACTCCTACGAAAAGTGTGAACAAAATCCCTTATAAGATATAGTGCAACAGAAAACCAAGTCTCTCACACCTCAAAGCCTGTGGAAGCAAGGCAAAAGCAAATTTCTATAATCCATTTGAAAAGAAACTAGATCCCAAGACAGTTAGTTGCTACTTCGTGGGATATCCAGACAGAACAAAAAGGTACAGGTTTTACTGTCCTAACAATACCACAAGGTTTATGGAAACACAAAGAGCAATTTTTATTGAGGATGAAAGTGAATAAGGCACTGATGAAAATTTTGATTTTGATGAAATTTTGGAAGGTGTGGAATTTACAAGAAAAGAAAATTTGATAAGCGAAATAATAGTCTTGCCATTCACTAATTCAAGTGACAAACAAGTCTCACCAGTTCATGATGAAAGAAATTTAGAAGAAAATCAAATGACTGAAGCTCAACAAACTGCAGCAGAAAATATGCAGATAGATCAACAAGAACTCCAGCCTCACAACTCAGAACTGAGAAGGTCACAAAGAACTAGGAGACCTGCTCTATCAAATGATTATTATGTCTACTTGCAAGAGCTAGAACATGATATCAACCCCATAGAAGACCTTGTGTCTTTTAAACAGGCTATGCAGAGTGAAAAATGTATAGAAGCAATGGAGTCTGAGCTTCAGTCAATGAGTGAAAATGGTGTATGGAAGCTTGTAACATTGCCTCAAGGATGTATACCAATAGGATACAAATGGGTTTACAAGACCAAAAGAAACTCAAAGGGACAAATAGACAGATATAAGGCACGTTTGGTAGCAAATGGGTTCACACAACAAGAAGGAGTGGATTATAATGAAACATTCTCACCTATTTCAACTAAAGATTCTTTAAGGGTGATAATGGCATTAGTGGCACATTTTGGTTTGCATCTTCATCAAATGGACGTTAAGACTGCATTTTTGAATGGAAACCTTATTGAAGAAATCTATATGAAGCAACCAGATGGTTTCATTCAAAAAAGGGAAGAAAATTTGGTTTGTAGGTTACAGAAATCAATATATGGATTAAAATAATCTTCAAGGCAGTGGTATTTGAAGTTTGATGAAGTTGTGAAGTCTCAAGGTTTCATTGATAATCCCTTAGATGAATGCATTTATCTCAAATTTCATAGAAGACATTACATTTTCATGCTCCTCTATGTCGATGATATTCTCTTAGCAAGCAGCAATTTGTCATTATTACATGACACTAAGAGAATGTTGTCAAACTATTTTGAGATGAGTGATTTAGGTGAAGCAAACTATGTTTTGGGAATTGAAATAAGTAGAGACTGAGAAAGGGGATTACTTGGTCTATCACAAAAAGGATATATAGAAAGGGTACTTAAAAGATTCAATATGGAGAACTGCACAGGTTGTGATGTTCCATTCTCAAGGTGATAAACTGAGTTGTGAACAATCTCCTAAAACTGAGCAAGAGAAGTTGGAAATGCAGGACAAGCTTTATTCTTCACTTGTAGGAAGCTTGATGTATGTGCAAGTTTGTACGAGACTAGACCTTGCTTTTTGCATAAGTGTTCTTGGAAGGTTTCAATCTAATCCAGGCCAAGCACATTAGGTAGCAGGCAAGAAGGTATTAAGATATTTGCAGAGAACTAAAGAGTACAAACTAGTTTATCAAAGAGTTGAAGAATTAAAACTTGAAGGATATGCTGATGCAGATTTTGCTGGTTGTTTGAATACTCAAAAGTGTACATCATGTGCTGCGTTCTTGTTTGCAGGAGGAGCAGTGGCATGGAAAAGTGTCAAACAAAAATATATATCAACCTCAACTATGCAAGCTGAATTCTTAGCAGTTTATGAAGCTACTTCAATAGCAATGTGGCTTAAGAATTTTATGTCAGTATTGAGAGTTATGGAATCCATACAGAGACCAATATAGTTGTGGAATGACAACAGTGCTGTAGTTTATTTTGCAAAGGGAAATAAAAGATTGTCAGGCATGATACATCTGCAGTTAAAATTTTTGTCAGCAAAAGAGAATGACGGCTAGACGCCAGACGAACCGACGAACCCCATTCCATTCCCATTCAGCAAAAGAGATGGTTTTGCAACTTTGGATTACATTACGTAAAAGAAAGAAGTGTGTTGCCGAGCATGATGGCTAGACGCCAGACGAACCCCATTCCATTCCTATTCAGGAGTCGGACCTTTGAGCAGCCATGAAGGCTATGATCGAGAGGGGAAATGGGAAGCGTGTGGGATAGTCTTGGTAAGGTCAAGAGGACCCACAAGCTCATTAGGATCGGCTTCATCCTCGAACTGGACTACCCAAAGTGGGTATCAAACGTGATTATGGTAAAAAAAAACACCAGAGAAGTGCAGGATGTGCATAGACTTCACGGATCTCAATAAGGCTTATCCCAAAGACAGTTTCCCCCTCCCCAGATTCGATCTCTAGTTGACGCCACCACGATCTTCGCCTTCCTTAATTTTTTGGATGCCTACTTAGGACACAACCAAATTCGCATGGACGTTGCCGATGAAGAGGACACCACGTTTATTACTAATCTAGGGCTATACTGCTATAAGGTTATGCCCTTCGGACTTAAAAATGCAGGTGCCACATACCGATGATTGGTAAATTGGATGTTTACTGAATACATCAATTGGTCTATCGAAGTGTATGTAGACGACATACTTGTCAAGAGTCTCACTGCCGACCAACATATCGATCGCCTCGTTGAAATGTTCATAATCCTCCGACAATACAAGATGCGGTTGAACCCCGCCAAATGCGTGTTTGGTGTGGAGTCAGGAAAATTCCTGGGATTCAGAGTTAGCTAGCTGGGGATCGAGGCCAACCCCTAAAAGCTCCGAGCATTGGTTGAAATGGCCCCTCCCAAACACGAAAGAAAAGTATAGAGTCTGACAGGGCACGTTGCTGTCCTCAACCGATTCATCTTGTAATCCACCGATCAGTGCTTACCATTCTTCAAGGCTATACGAGGCTTACAACGGCATATCCAGTAGACAGAAGAATACGACGATGCTTTTCGGAGCTTAAAGAAGCACATGGGAGCCGCTCATATCCTCTATAAACCGGAACCTGGTGAGACCTTATGCATTTACCTATATCTCTCCTCATCTACTATCAGTTTGTTCATCGTCTGAGAGATCGATACTACATAATGAGCCGTGTACTATATAAACCGAGCACTCATAGAGGCCGAGACACGCTACCCTGGCCTTAGTAGTTTCTGCTCGACGTCTGCATCCATACTTCTGACAAGTCCTCCTTTGACCAGAGGTCCACCCCATCTCGGTTCTCACTAATCAACCCCTTCGACAAGCCCTCTATCGACTAGAGGTCTCTGGAAACCGCATCAAATGGTCTATTGAGCTGAGTGAATTCCATATCGACTCAGAATTCACACCAGCCATGCTTATTACCGACGAAACATGCAAACAAGCCCTCATCCATTCCCCATGAATGAAAGGAGCCCACCCCGACCCTAGAGCCAACATGGACCCTAAACGTCGATGATGCTTCCAACCTACGTGGGAGTGGTGTTGGGATCGTACTTACCTTTCCAAAAGGAACCGAGGTGGAATACGCTCTCCATTTTCAATTTAAGGTCACCAATAATGAGGCCGAGTACGAGGCCCTACTCGCAGGGATATGCCTCACCCATGATCTTGGATCCAAACAACTGACTGCGCTCAGTGACTCGATGCTTATCATCAACTAGGTCAATAACACTTACCAGGTTAAGGAAAAGGTTATGCAGGCCTATCTGATAAAAGCACATCGTCAAGCATCATTTTTTTAATACCACATTTACCATCTCTCAAATCTACTGGAGCCAGAATGGCCGAGTTGATGCTCTAGCCAAGTTAGCCTCTGTCCTCAACGGGGAGATCAAGCGAACGATCCCAATCAAATACCTTGCTAGATCAACCATCATTAATGACAAGAGCAATACACTACTGCATTTCAGCCTTTACGCG